TCGCATATGGCAGTGGTAACCAATTGTGATGTATCCTGATAATGACTTCCCTAACGGAAGCCGAAATATTGGAGTCAAAGAGAAAATCTATTCCATCTTTAAGCGAATTTTCTTGTTCAAAAGCTAGATTTAAATCAGCTGTGCTGTGCGGTATCTCTAGGATGATCGCAACGTACTGAAAGACGAAAGTTTTTAATCATCAGGATTTTCGCTTCCCGTACAGTTTCAAGAGGACCGAATGTCGTTTGTGGCATGTCAGTTCAGAGTTGCGCAGTTGGTAGGACGTTCGATTGAGAATTGAGAGCTCCTGGGTTCGAGCTCCGGTCAACTCTTTGGTTTTTTTACGAGATTGATAACTGAGTACTACCATTAAATCAGAGACTGTGGTCAACCTCGATCTTCAGAAGAATTGTACCAGAAATGGTCCAAAGATGAAAGTGTAAGGAAGACCGAAATTCCAACGGTTGCAAGCTTTCTTGCTTCTTTTCATGAAAGTTGTTTCATGTCGCACGTCAGCCAATGTGATCGTAACTATCGATAAGTGACTCATTGTTTTTGTTTCCATTGAGCAGTTATTAGCAATTTGGTGGCCACTGTAGCATGCAGTTCTTTTTCCCCTCCCACTTGTTTATCTTCGTCAAAATGCAGAAAGGATAGTAACCTGAACGAGACTCGAACGCCGGATCGATCGAATTTGAGTCTGATGTTTTACGACTGAGCAACCCTGGCCATCGTGCGAGCCAATGAATCAAAGATGTACATACACACAGTTACGTTCAGATATAGTAGTGTTATTCATTAACTGATTTTAACTGATTTATTTAGGATATCGCACTTTTTTATTTTGTCACTGAATTTAAAATTTCACTGCTGAATTATTGCGTAGCTTATTAATAGGCAAGTGTCAACTTTAAAACACAAAATGTTACTGAAAATGATTTTCAGTACAGTTTTATACAGCTACAAAAAGACAAAACTTCTGACGCAATGGCTGTTGGCACAATACTGCAATGTTTTCTTTGTGCTTGCTGTCTTTGTGTCACACGACGTTCTATCTTGAAGTCTGTTTTTTCAGATGTTGACACAGAATCAGTTTGAATTATAAAAGATGATTGTCAGTATTTTCTTATTTATGTTTGTTTTGTTTGCGCTTTAAATCAGTTTTGTTTTCTGCTTTTTCAGAAATAGAGCTACGTTGATCGTTGATGTGTAAATTGTACTTATTGTAGCGCGATAGTTTGCCTCCAATATGTACTCACAACATGGCGGACGATTCCAATGACCCGGTGCTGAAGCACTTGCGACGAACGCATCTTTTCAACGCTGACGATGACCGCGTGAAGGTAGTTGATCGATCACCTTTTACATTCGAGCAAATGCTTGATAATTGATTGGTGATCTTTCTAGGTTGTGTTCCATCCGGAATTCCTCTCTTCGGTCAGTCCCCTTATTGGCTTGGATTATGAGGAATTTGTGCGCGGTTGTCATTTAGGCGTGTTTCCGTCGTATTACGAGCCGTGGGGCTATACACCAGGTTAGCGTGTCCTGACTGTTAATTGTTTGACGATTTTTTTCCTCAGTTGCATATTCATATGTTTGAGACAACGCCTCAGTACTATTCTTAGAGATATACTTATATTGAAAGTCTTTAATTCTCATCAAGTTTGCGTTAGTTGTACAGGAGTGTTAGCTATTGCTGTTCACCGGGTTCATTTGACCGTGTAGAATTGCAAAACTGTTAGAGTCCTGATGAAACTTGATTAGGATAATTATAATCGAATCGAAATTTTGTTTTTGATGGTGCATAACAAAGACTATCCAACCATCGAAACCGAGTTTCGTTGTATGGATAGTTTTTGCTCAATGATTATTTTCGAAAGTGACTTTTCGATTCGAATGCGCAGCTGTGGATCTGTGTGAAAGCACAGGTTCAAAACAGCGAAGTTGGACCCATAACATTGGCTGTTGGACAGAAAAATTCATGTGAATTTCTATTACGAGATAGCTGAAGTTGTTGAAAATTAACCCTGCAGTATAAATGGTATTTTTTACGACTGAACTGAAGGGGAAAAATTGGTGTGGGTTGACGGTTAGGTGACATAATCAGTGTTTAAGAACTTTAGGAAATTTAGAATTAGCGTTTGCGCATTTGATGAATACGCATTCAGATGAATACTTCTCTTCCCCAGAGATTCGCGAAAGAACGTTGTTTTTCAGAGTTACACCACCCTGTGATGGTTATCACGCTGAATGGTCCGCTGTTAGATGCGCCAAAATGAAATGTCGCCAACAGCGGCGCTCGCATCAGATTGCATGGTGGTGCATCTGCTTCATTTTGGTAAGAGCATGTCAGAATACTGAGATGTTCCTGTTATTGATCATCATCAAATGTGAGACAAATTGTGTAGGACAAGTGTGAGACGAATTCATAGATCGTTGCTTGCATTAGTTTAATGAAGCAAATCGGATGGGGAGGGATCATATGAATTTGTTGAGATTCGCTTCTTTCCCTCCCTCGTGAGAGTCATCCACTTGTCATAAACCAGGTGGAGGTCCACGCTAAACGTTGTGACATCTTTTTGACGCATAACTGTTTGCTTTCAGGAATGCAATCTTACAACAGTTAGGATATTCTGTTTAAGATTTGGTAGTCTTTTATAACAGTTGCACAGTCAGCGTGACTTTAACCCATGGCTGGTTTTGATTTATGATACTTTGGAGACAATTTTAACTTTGAACATCAGAGCCCGAGACAAATTTATTCATGAACTTGCTTGACTTATGTCGATGGGCTGGCAAAAGGGGAAAGAAGGTCTGTAACCGTTGAAATGTTCGTTTTGTTGTATTGTCATGACCAGAGCAGCTTTTTGATGTTAATGGTGGGGTCTCTGATCTCCATTTCTATGCCATGAGTTAGGGGTGCTTGTTTTTGGGCAACGTCAGCAGCTATGTGGCACATGTAGTGGTAGTCTCCTGTTTCTTTCCAGTTATTTGTTAGTGTCTCAGTTATTAACCCTGGGAAGAAGAAAGATCAGTGACTGGATCGAGAATCGAAACTGGGACCTCCGGACTGGGCAGCAGTCGATGTATTTTCTACAGGCTAGCAATGTTATGTCATTTTTACCTTCCTTCGCACCGCATTTCTACTAGACATCCGTAACACTTATGTTAATTGGCTATGCGATGCCTCATATCTGACTCTTGCACTTTCTTCTGATGTAGAATTATTTTTTGACGG